TTCAGCCAGGAGGTGCAGTCCCCACCATAGCAACCATCCCAGCAGGAACTGAATGAGGGAAATGCAATCCAAAATGTGGCCAAAAGCAACATTCTGACCCTGTGAACAGCTTACCTGTGACACGGACAGTGTTCTAGGCAAACACAGAAGAAGGAGATGGGAGTAATGTTTTCATGGCAAAACTTACAAGACAACCATTTCCACCTTGTGTCCCTGAGGGTGGCTCTGTCTCCAGGGAGCAGTTACCAGGAGTTGCTTCATTCACTGATGAACAGCAGGAAGCTCAGCTGGTCAAGAGACCAAGGGAATAGGGGTATGGGCCTTTAACTCACTGGCCAGATTCTAGGGCCTTCATGAAGTCCCTAACCAGATAATAAGAGTTAACTGGAAAATATAAAGAGAGAGAAGACACAGGGAATGCAGAGAGGGAAGTCTATCAACTCCACTGGAGGGTATGACAGTTAACGTAATCACCTAGAGCAGAGAGAAGCAGGCTATGAGCTTTGGGGACATTACTACAGTGCCCAATGAGGAGAACAAAGCTATGTATGGCCCGGTTTCCTGAGAAATTGTGATTTCCTAGAGGAAGAAGCACAGAACTCTGTCATACAAAGACTTAGTTCCAAAGTACCTGGAAATAATCAAATTAGAATTCATGAGGCATAGAATGAAGAATTAATAAAAAAGCCTAATTCTTGACATTTATTTTATTTCTTTACCCTCTTATAAAATGTAAGTGATAAAACAATATTTTAAACTATAGGCATTATAAGAAATACTTTGGTAGCTAATTTCTGATTTTTAAAAACCTCATCAGAAGTTCGTATTTCCTTCTACAAGCAGCACAGGGGCTCTGACACAGCTCAGCCATGAGAAGATAGTCATTGCTGCTCCCAGTTCCAGGGAGTCAGCTGTCAGGTCATCTTCTTGCATGCAATAGGAATCTGGGGTGCAATGGAGAAGAGGGGCACTGGAGGCGAAAATGGAAGACCAAAAGAGGCAGATCTGTTGAGGTGGAACCTGCCAAGGGCTCGAAAAGCAACACTGACCACACTGACCACATGACAAAGCCTTAAAAACAAGGACCAAGCCTATCAGGAGGCGAGAGGGAGACTGGCTGCGTCTGCAGGCCTGTGTTCCATGTTATTGCACAACTTCGGCTGCCCAGTGGAACTTTTCCAACATCAACAGTCCCCAGGCCAGAAAACAAACCTGGCGTCACAGGGTCTGAGTGTGAAAAAAGGATGTTTAGGGTGTAAAAGAAACCAGGATAGACTTTGCCTCTGAGAGATAGCTGAGAAGAGGTCTCACCCAGGCAGGCTTCAGAGTCCTGCTCCAATTTCCCCAAGCATGCGAGGGAAGCTTGCTAGAAACCAGACTTGACCACCAAACTCTAATGAAAAATGGTCTCAGGTGTTTGACCCTGTGACTCTAGTTTTCTCCAGCCGCCTAGAGCCAGTTACCATCCAACTAGGTCTGGCTTTTCATTAAGCCAAATGTGACAACATGCAAGAAGAGGCTAGTATAATACATAAAGACATTTCATCACGGTTGCTATTGTTTTGTTTTGTTTTTCAATTCTTCATAGTGTACTTATTCTGGGCCAAGCATCAAGTAATCCTGCGATGTAGTCTATTTTACAAATAAGGAAATCAAGATGCAGAAAAACTGAGTACCCTTCCCGAGCTCACCAAGCCTCCCAGTGGGTTGCTAGCATTCTGGAAGCTAGGTCTAGAGGTTCATTTGCTCTCCAATCCCATGCTTTCCCCATTACATGGTTTATCTCCACTAAATGCAAAAGATTCCCAACCCCACTCCCTGCAAACAGCAAACCTTGGGATGTTTCCTTGGCAACATTTGTGAAATTATGCACAGGAGCAGGATGGCAAAGTCTGACACTGGTTCATGGGAGATGGTAAAGACTTTTAAAAGTTGCTGTGCTGATGCAGGCATACCTGGGTCTGTCATGGAACATCGCAGGAGCCTCAGCCCCTACTTCTGCTTGCTCTGTGAAGGGGATAAAACACCTGAATGGCACAACCCAAGGTACACGCTCCTGTGTAACTGCTTCTGTTCAATCCATCACACATAACCAGTGGCCAGCAAACTTTTTCAGAAAAGATCACATACTAAATACTTTAGAGTTTGTAGGTCACACAGGCTCACCAGAGATACTCAAGTCTACTCTTGGTGACGGAAACAGCCTTGGACAATACATAAATAAATCAGTTCCAGTAAGACTTTACTTACTAAAACAGTCAGTTGGCCTCCTGCCATCCCCCGTTATGTGGCTTTGGGGAGACATGTCTTTTACAGTTACAGTGGAACCTCCATTCACAAATTTAATTATTTTAGCAATAATTGTGTCTTAGATAAACCTCATTGGCTGTGATACTACTACTGCACAAAGCTCAGACTTAATTCTTTCCACAATTCTGGTTGCAAACTGAACTGAATGAGAACCGAATCAAATCCAATGGTTAGAATCAATGTTGACCTTAGGGGGAAATTTGATTCACTTCTTGTCCAATTTGGTTTGTGACCAGGATCATGGAAATAACTAAGTTTGTGAACTGTGTGTTAAAAAGATTGACATGCACTCAGTTGGTATGGTCAGCTGATCATAATAGACAACGTTTCAGTTTCTTAGGTGATTATTAAGATACCAATACCTAATAATTATCCTTGGTCACATTTCTCCCAGAGAACTATTATCTCTCCCACCATGTTCCTGTTCTATATACTGACCTTACAGACATAAATGAGGCCAACCGGGAAAAATAAAGGGGGCTGCGTCACACCAATAAAGGAAGGTAGTTGTATGTGCCTGGAAATCATTTCTCAACATGACCCTAATAGTAGACTACACAGACATAGAGCAGATAAAAAGCAAAAGTTGGTATCATCACACTACCACACTCAGAACACAGCCCCAGAAGATAGGCATCGTAATCTTTAAAATAACTAGTTTTCTCTAGCCCAAGAAATTACTAGTTATCACTCTCTCTCTGTCCGCCTCCAACCCTTGTCTGATTATGGGACCGTGACCACATGACACAAACCACTTGACACATAATAGCAGTAGTCATTTCATAGGGTTATGGTGAAATGAGTTAAAGTGAGCAAACAAATGTAAAATTTTCAGGATTAGCTACCATGACAGTACTAGCCCAATTTTACCAATAATCATAATGACGACCTTCCTCCTCTATCTTTCCCCAAAGCAATGAAATGCATCGAGTTAGATTCTATATTAGATGGCATAGGTAGGTGATAAAGCCCTTATCCTCACAGAGTTAAAGACTGGTAGAAGAAAGAAAATTCACAGAAGCAATTACTAAATGTCAAGCTAGTGTTTCAGATAAAAGGTGGTATATAATTCAGAGGACAAAGCCTCTTGTCTGCCACTTGGTCACAGAAAGAGAATTAATTCTCTCACTGAGAGCTTGCAGAACTTCCAAGGTCTCAGGGTCAAGACAGACCATTTACAAATATTTCTTCCAGCACCAGGCACTAGCAGTATCAGCCCCACTTCTCTGTAACATACTCTATTTGCCTAAGAGTGAGCAGGGAATGGAGGAACATTCTTAGAAGCTTGTTGGATAGATAGATGCCTTTACTTAGGCTAATGATCAGAAATTCTTTCCCGATTGAGGAATTCTCAAAATAAGCACTGCTATTAATCCCACTGTTTCTATCAATGACAATAAAAAATACATATGATTTGTCACACACTTATTATTTATGACTTAGGCATCAAATACCCCATAGATATTAGCTTAGTAAACCTTTAACTAGTCTTCTGATCCTATTCCACAGATAAGAACTGAGGTCCAGAGAGATTACCTGAGTTGACTGGAAGGATCACTCACCAAGTGTTGGAGTCAGAATGTGAACCCAGGATTTGCTGATTCCAAAGTCTATTCTTTAACCTCTCTACTACTCTGTCAGAGATTATAGCCCCAGGGAACTCACACTGTCTTCTTCCATCTCACTATCCCATGCCTCTAGCTTTTATCAAACAGTGAACAGGATTCCTGGAGAGATGCTCACCAGCCAAAGCTCACAGACAAAATCAGCCAAAAGTCACATGGATTCACCTCTTGATCGCAACCATTCAGTGCATTCCAGTCCCCACACCGCCACCTGTAGGACAGAGCTGGCACATGGACAACACAGGGGCCAAGGACAACACATTTAAGAGACAAAGGTTTGTCAGGTCAAATTCTGCCTGCCTGTTCAAAAGCATATCTAGTTTGTTCACAGTCCTTGCCATCTCTAAGGAAAAGATCATATGGCTAAATTCAACAACCAGACATAATATACAGCCAGAAAGTAATAGTTCTCACAATGAAGTCTTAGTTGAAAGAAGGATCCTCCCTGAAAAGATACAGATTTGGTTTATTCATATATTCCCTTGTTGATGAACATTTAGTCTTTATTGATGACAAATGAACTTTATTGACTTTAGTCCTTATTAGTGGTAAATAAACTCTACAAATCTCATCAAGCTTCAAAAAATATCACCTTTCTAAAAAGATTTTAATCAGTACCACAATTTTACAGAAAGAGCTTTGAAAGATCAGACCAGAAAAAACCAACTATAATCAACTGTTAGCGCATGAAAAATGGACAGAACTAAGCCTTGCCAGGCTTGAAGTTCAACTTCTTTATACTCAGTCATTCTTCTTACAAATTCTCCTACACAGCATACAGAAAGTCATACTATTTAAATAATATTAAAAGTCAAAATATTAAAATAGAGTCCAAAATTTTTAGCTAAAAGGATTAACTGTTCATGAAAGATGATCCCTGAGATGACAACTGAAGAAAATTAAACTTGGAAGCAATGAACTTATGTAGTCTCCTTATTTTTCAGTTATAGAAATTGAAGACCGGATAAATTCAATGATTTGTCTAGCTCAAAGGATGTCATGTAAAAATCACAAAACAACCAGGGGCATATTTGGTGCATATATAATCCAAGGAAGATTATTTACCTGAATTTCTTACATTTGTGTTGTTCAATTTGGAGTCCTTGATTACCAAGTGCTTAATCCATAGAGTGGGAGCTGTGATTTCTAGATTTAAAAAAAGTAAGAGAGAAAGAAGGTATGAGCAAAGGAAAGTAAATAACATAGAGTGTAATCCTGGACTTTTAAAAGTCTGAGTTCTCAAGACTGTAGGCATTTCTCTTGTGATGTATGCCCCTTGTCTAATGCCCTCTCCCCTCCTCACAAATGAAAGCTCTCTCCCCACCAGTTTGTAAGAGCCAACCGGGGAATCCTGTGGCAGGAGACAGAGTGGTCAGAGTCTAGCGACACTGAACCACTCCATCCAGGAATAAAAATATTATCCCAGGAGGTGAGGAACATGGGCCAAGCCAAGTCCCTCTCGGCTGCTTCCCTGGGAGGAGACTGAAAGGGGATAAATCAACAAACACATGCCAAACCGACCACAGAGACCATTTCAGAGGAAACAGCTGAGCCACAGCAGATCCAGCCTGCTGAGGCTCTGCCACACAGAGGGAAGAAAAAGGTGGGTCTCACAATGCTCCGACCCTGCTCCCCACAGGTCCCTAAACAGGTGCTGAGTGGCTGTGTCCAGAATGCTCCAGTATGCCTCCTTGCTCTCAGGACTTGGGTCACCCGGTGGACAGGGGGTGTTAGAATCCTGAATGGCCCCGAACATACCACGGAGTGACAAGATCTCCAGTGAGGGTACTGAGGAGGTCTCCCAAGACTACATGATGTCCATTCCCCCTCCGCATCATCTAGACCCAGATTTGCAATAGTTTAGGACCTTTGTGAATCAGAGACTTTTGAATTTTTAGACATGAACCTAGCAGAAGTGGAGTAATGGTTAAGTTTTAAAAATGTATGACAGTAAAATACACATGGCCATTAATTCCTCTCAAAACTCCCTTCCTTGTTTGAACACATTTATCCCATTGTTCTTTCCATTCTGGAAGTCCCCTTTTGTGAATAAAAAAGTCTTCAGTTGTGTTGTTGGGCTGCCTGGATGTCTTAAGTCATTTCTAAGCATTTACCTTTCATGGTCTCTTTTTTTTTTTTTTTGTACCAGGAATCGAACTTAAGACCTAGTGCATGCCAGGCAGATGCTGTGCTGCTGAGATATACCCCTGGTATTCATGGACATTTTGACCTTGAGGGAGACTTGTGAATAAGGCGGATAAGCACTGGAAAGCACTGACAAGCCAACTTTTCTGTTTATGATGCTCAACAGTAGCAGCACCCACTTCATGTTTGTGTGATCAGACCTCACAAAAGAGACTTCCAGAACTGCTTCAGAAAGCGGCATGAATGGTGGGACAGGTGTGTTAGAAGTAAGACAGAGTATTTTGAGGGAGATTAATGCCAACGTTCCTTTTACTGCAATACATTTTTTAAAAATGTAAGCATTAGCTGGCTGTGTAATTTGATCACTCCTTATATGTTCCACTAAAGAAACCAATTTAATATGAAATGTCATCTTTCAATCTTTCTCCCCAGATCTGAGCCTATGCTAGGACCATCCCCCAGAGCTAAGGACCTGGTATGCTCTATACTTCTAGAAAGGACTTCGGTTTTCCCTTCCTGTCTCATGATGTTCCAGAGACCCCACCTTACCAAACGTCCTCTTCCTGCTCATGGGAATCTGGAGTATTTGGTAAAATACCTGAAGAGTAGAGGCCATGAGCAGCTCCAACCTGAATGGAGGCCAGACTTCTGCACCCTCAGAAACCTCTCTGCCCCCTCCCCATATCTCTAGGGACTTCCAGCCTTTATTTTGTTGTAAGACTCTATTTCCCTTGAGCTAGAATTCTTCTTCTCCCAATATGTTGAGTGCACTCCCCTCGTCCCTGCAATCTAGCCTGATTGACCAATCTCCATCCTGGCTACTTCCATCACTGATTTCCATCTCGCCTCCTTGTACGTGCCAGTCTCCCTGCCTGGAACACCACAATTCTTCCCTTTTGCTTACAAGATCCAGCTTGAGTTGCATCTCTTCAAAGAAAGTTTTCTCAGACTATGACCACCTCTCTGTGATAAATGTATATTACAATGCAAATTGAGACCACAGATTATAGCCCACAAAGCTCTCTGGTGATTGCAACTCTGCTGAGAGCAAAGGCTGAGATTGATACACTACCTCTCCTCACCCAGGCACCCTGCAGTATGCTAGGTACAGAGCAGGTGTTTGTAAATGTGGAAAGGACACTACTGGCCTGAATTTCTTAGCCATGACTCCCTGTCTGTCCAGACTGTGTTTTTGTTGGGCATCATGAGACAGGAAGCCTAGGGAAAACCAAAGTCCTTTCCAGAAGTTGAGAGTATACTTGGTCCTTAGCTGGATTCGTTTTTTTTAAAACATTAAGACAATGTAGCTTACATTAGAAAACACTGAAGTTAGAAAAGAGAATAATCATAAAGAAGCATAAACAAACACCTAAAGTTAAGACTCCCCAAACCTAAAATCTGATGAAAGAAAGACAGTAAGTAATACAAGGACTTACCATCTCCATCGAACACCGGCTGGGTCTCCATCGTAGGTGTTGGTTTCGACCCGTCATCTGAATTGAGGGTTAAAAAGAAGCGAAAAGAGACTACCATTATTGAGGTAAATACTATCTACTCTCCAGCACTGTTGAATGATTTGGGTTTGTACATGGCCCGGCCAAGTCCCAATAAAGAGGCCAAAGAAAAAGAAAAAGGAGGAGAAGGAGAAGGAGAAGGAGAAGGAGAAGGAGAAGGAGAAGGAGAAGGAGAAGGAGAAGGAGAAGAAAAGACCAAAGGAAAAGAGAACCAGAGGAAGACACAGCATTAAAAACAAATCCAGAGGTGTGCTCACTATCCCAAAGCATGCACCAGAGGAGGCAGGCTCGTACTTTGGAAGACCCTTTCCCACCCATATGCAAACACCGCCATGCCCCTTCCAGGCTTGCTCCTCAGCACAGCACTGCTGAGAGGAGGCATCCCCTCCAGCACCTGAGCTTTGGCCAGGCATGTTAGGATGAGGTCAGCCTCAGTTTGGTTTCCTGTCCTCTTATGAAAGGTACTGGATCAGAATATTTTCTAGAAGCCCTGATTGAAAATCTTAAGAAAAACAGAGTCCTGGGCATCATTCCTTTCGAGGAAGGATCATTCTCCCTCTGCAGCACACTCAAGAAAATCAAGTATCCTTAGAACATTTTAAACTATGGAGCAGCACATACCCCAACCCCCAGCAGGGGGTGAGGCAAACAGAATCACAGAAATCACCCTGTTCTTGCTTTGAAATCTCTAGTACTGATGATGGGAGCGAGGCATCCCCGGTAGCAAAGTCATAAAGCCCTTCATTCCAGTAGTGCTGGCAGCTCGGTCTACAAAGCAAAACTCTCTGCAGGTCAAGAGGTAGAGCAGACTTTGTTTATTTAGCTTCCAGAACTCAGTTACTTTCATCAAGGCCCCAAAACCTTTAGTTTAGAGGAGTGCTTCTGAGCCTTTTATCCATTATTGCCCAACTAAAAAGTCCACCTAAAATTTTTAGAGTTTTCCCCTAACTGCCTCCCTAATGAAATTTTAATAATATATATAAACTGTGTATCTGATCATGTATCACATATATATTTTTGTGCTTTATATATGAAAAGAGTAAGCTCCCCATCACCACCGAGAAACAACTTCACTCTCTGAGAATAGGTATGTATGCCCATCTTGAGGACACATTGTTTAGAGATTTTTTCTTTGTTTTCTCCTTTAGTGAGAGGAGGAAGGTTAAACACTATGTCCTAGGTATTTGATGATTATACCACCCCTCCCTTCCCAAGCACCAGAGGTCTTTTAGAATGGAATAGTCCACTCTCTGGGCATGAGACAGTGGAATATTCCCTATTTATGGAATAGGGAAATGCCAGTCAGATCACCAGTAAGAACAACCCTCCACCATTTGGAGCTCCTGTTACCTTTGGCTGATTCCTCCTCATCTTATTAGGGAAGGTAGAAAGAGTATAATTCTGATGTTTATTTTGTCACCATCTTTGGAATCTTAAGATTCAAAACACAAACTCGATGGATACAAAGACCTGTCAGTCATGTGACACCCGACCCTGCTACTAATTCTCATGTGCCGCCACGAAGACCTAACTCTCACAAGGACCAGAGTGACCATGAACTATCTGACAATCATCCTAAGAACACGATGGCGTGGGCAGAGAAGGGTAGCTACCCTGGACATCTCACTTGCCTCCAACTGGGTCCCAAGCAGGCAACTTTTGATGCCAAGCTGTGGGAGTTTGAGCTGGAAGTCACTGAAGGAGAATAAACACAGGACAGAGCCACACAATGTCATTTTTTACAAAAAAATAGCATCACTTCCCCTGACTCTATTAACACCTCTTTCCATTGAATTCAGTGAGCCACTGAATGGAGCCTTTTGGCAGCTGCAATGCACATTTGGTTGCTCTTGCCGGATGTGGAGTTCACAGTGTAAATAGCCCAACAGTACACTCAGCCCCTCCACACAGGGTGGCTGCGTGTTAGGAGTCTTACAAGCTAGCAAAGGCAGAGTGAGAGATAAAACTTTTCAAGAGGAACAAGAGTGAGAACCAGAGTGGAAAATGGCTTATGCGATATTTTAATATTCAACATAGGTGTTAAAATCCTCCCATATTACAAGAGCTGTAACTCTCTCTGGAGCAAGATAACTGAAAACATTCTGTTTCTTTCTCCTGTCATCCAGATGGTCGTCTGGGACTGCCCTTCTGGTCTGGCCATCAGCAAAAAGGTCTACCCCCCAAGCAAGGAGGGTTTCCTGGGGATGACCTGCACCTCTCTGCAGGTGGATGACTTCCACATTGCCAGATGCAGGCACACGGGCCCTTGGAGTGTAAAGCCACTGTAACGAATGAATCTTCCTGCGGGATAGGGTCACCAAGGGTGAGGAGATACAGCTGCTGTGCTACAAGGGAGGTCCAAGGTGGAAATCTTTATAAAGTGAGAAAAGACAAGGCGCCCTGATGCCAGGAGCCACCTGTGAAATCCAGCAGGCCCAAAGGCCAGGAAGCCAAGCCAAAGCCAACAGGACCTTCTCACCATCATCTCCGGGCACCTGGACACCTGGCTTCTGATCCAACAAATAAGCACACCTCTTCTACCAAACATAAATCCAAGGCCTGGATCCAAGGTCCACAGCAGGGCCGCTTCCGGGCAAGCCCTGGAGCAGTACCAGGCCCCACAGGAGCCTCTGGGAAAAGAGTAATCTTTCTGAATATGTCCCTGGCCTCTCAGGCCCATGTGGGATCACATTCTGATCCCCATTTTATGTCCAATAAGTCAGTTAAACTGAACCCCTCCTTTACTTCTCTGGGTAGCAATATTGTCTTCTAAAAATGAAAGCCTGCCTGCCAAAGCCTCAGAACACTATGTACGGGTAAAAAAACTCTGTGTAAAGACCTATGAAGAGGGGTATATAATTTTATGAGTGCTAACCATCTTAGGCAACTTTTAAATTTTGTTTTACAAATTAAGCTACTATCAGTTTTTAAATTTAAAAAACCCTGTAATTCACTAAGATCACTTATTTAAAACTGAAATAAGTATTTTAATATACATGTCATCAAAGAAGACATATGGATGATTAATAAACCTAAAAAGATGTTTGACATCACTAGGGTTTAGGAGTGTGCAAATTAAAATCACAGGGGATACTACCAACCACTCGCTAGCATGACTAAAATTTAAAAAGATAATACCAAGTGTGGACAAGGATGTGGGAAACTGGAACCCTGTGTGTTGCTAGTGGTAATATACATTTTGGGTAGTAACTTTGGGCAGGTTTTTTTAAAGCTAAACATAAGCTTACATTCAACCTTAAAATTCTGCCTTTCGGACTTCTATTAAAAATAAATTTTAAGGGGCTGGGGATTTAGCTCAGCGGCATAAGCGCCTGCCTTGCAAGCAGGCAGTTGTGAGTTCGAACCCTGGTACCGATAAAAACGAAAAAGACAAAAGACATTTACACAAATGTTTATAGCAAGACTATTTGTAATAGTCTCAAATTTGAAATAATACAAATGTCTGTCACCTGGTGAACAGATAAATTAAAATATACCCACCTAACTGAATGCCAGTCAGCAATGAGAAAAAGAATGGATAACTAATACACGTTGCCATATAGATGAAGGACCTCACAAAACATTATTCTAAATGTAGGCAGGAAACGTGAATACTGCATGTTGTCAGATCCCATTCAGATAGCACATCTAATAAAGATAAATCCACAGAGATAGATCTGTGGTTGCCTAAGGAAGGAGGTGGGAGTGAGGTTTAATTATACATAGGTTTGATGTTTCTTTTTGGAGTGATAGAAACATTCTCTACTGCTGTTTGCACAACTCTATAATTTTACCAAACTCTGCATATACAGTGGGTGAATTTTGGGGATGTAAATTATACCCCAGTAAAGCTGTTTAAGCAATACAGCTTGTCACAGGTACCTGAGCCAGATCATCTGGCAGTAAGTACAGCTGGATTATATAATCAACCCTTCATTCATAGTGAGAGTCTTGCATATATTTTAACACGAACATCTTAATCTCACTTTACATATATGCCTACAGTGATCTGATGCCTGGTGCTTACTCTTGGTCATTTTGGGGGCCTTCAATAGGAAGACTTTCTCTTTAATACCACAATATTCCCCCAAACTAGGGGAAGAAGACAGGACACTGTGGGAAAAAAACTAATTCAAATACTAATAATTTTTCTTACAGGGAGGGAGAAAGAGGTAGATTTGAAAACATTATGATATGCAAATAAAGCAAACATGAGAGAATTTCTCAGGGATGACGCCAAGATCAACAGTAAGAGCAGCTTTGTCATATTTTGCAACGCTCAGCTTCCGGCAGGTAACTTTCCTCATCCGTTCCACCACCACTCAGGGAGCAGAAAGGCACTAGGCAGATGAAGAGAGAATTGAGTCTCAATGCAAGTAAGTGCTTTGCTCAAGGACCCAGAGGCCAAGAGCAGCTTTGGAAACTTCCCAGCCCCACACCATGGCGTGTGGCCTTCCAAGGTTCCCCAGCCCCCAAGCAGGCCTTGTCCTTGCAGGTGCAGCCCCACGGTTTCAGGCCACATGGGCTTTGGGAGCCTATGTAGAGAATGGGTTTGTATGACAGCACAATTCCCTGCCCTGCGAGAAGGCCTGGCTCACACACAGACAGCTGGAAGTCACTTCGACCCCTGATGACACCATTCAAAGCCTCCTCTGTTTGGCTTTTTGATTCCTGATTGACATTCGCTGGCAAGGGGAGATAAATGCCCAGCTGAGGACAATGTTGATCTGCTCTGACTATTCTCAAGGAAAGACTTTTCAGAATAACAAACAAAACAAAACAAAACCCCCAAAACATTGGTGTGCTTAAGGGACTGAATAGAGCCCAAGAGGTCCAGGGAAGCAGAGCTGGCCCTTTCAAGGGGCTGGCAAGTCCATTGAGGAGTTAATTGTTTGGGTGTACAATGAGTTTATTCTGACCACATACAAAGAGCTTTCTCTTCCAGGTCCTTCAAAAGGTCCTTCAAAAGCAAGTGTGTCAAAGAGGCCAGAGCAGGAATCTGTATTAATGGC